GTCAACTAGTTTTTTGACTTCTTCTTCCAATGCCTTCTGACGATCCGGCCCCAATTTCCTTCTCTTTTGTACAACCGGTCGGACTGTTCGGTCGAGGTTTAGTTTATGGCTCGCAACACCGGGGTCGATACCCTTCATGTCCTCATGCTTCCAGGCAAAGACATCAGAATTCTGTTTGAGAAACGCAATAAGGTCAGACCGAAGTGGTTCCTGAAGATGACTTCCGATACGTAGTGACTTGTGGAAAATTGGTTCGTCAATATAGACTAACTCCACGTCCTCCCCAGGTTCGGCTCGATCGGGTCGGCTTTTTTCTTTAAACAAGGCTCTGGGATCCAGCTCGTCTTCTTCTAGGAGGGGCTCTTTTCCAGGTCGGCGTCCTCGGTCCTCGGTTAAAGGATCCGAGGTGGAGGGCTCACCGACGTGGCTGCTCGGTTCTTCGGTCATCGTATCATTTGGATTGTGATGTTGTGGGGAGGTCTCATGGTTACTCGTCGAAGCTGAGTGAATTCCATGAGAAGGGATGAACGTTACAAGTTGTCTAGCTTCCCTTTGATCTCCGAAGTGGGTTCCTTCCCCTCGAGTTGTTGGAAATTTTAAAGCGTAGTGGAAGATAGAGACTGCGGCCCGAAGCTTGTACAACGCCGTTCTGCCAATGATGGCGTTGTATTCGTTATTTATATCCATAACTTTAAAAGTCTCCATAACGAGTTTGGTGACATTCTCCGAGGTACCAAATCGGACGGGCAAGGTGATTTCTCCGATGGGTTTTGAAATACTGCCATTAAACCCCTGGATTTGATCATTGCAAGGTCTGATCTCGGCGGGGTCGAGACCCATCTTGTCAAAAGCTTTCAGCATCAAAATGCTTGAGTAGGCCCCAGTGTCCACCATGACACGATGAACCGGGATGCCACATATCGGAACGGTAATGACCAAGGCGTCAGAATGAGGATGGGCGAAGTGGTTCGCGTCCTCCATATTGAAAGTTATTGGACAATTCCTATTATTGAGAACATCTCTCAAATCGGTGGTGTAAACCTGTTTACCGGAGTTGTAGGCTTGTCGGGCATACGCCTTAACTTGTCGGCGGGATAACGTGCTCCGAGAGTTGTTGGTATTGACCCGATGGACAGTGATTTGCATTGGTTCAGGAGATCTATCTCGCTTACGTCCTCGGGAAATTCCATCAAGGGCAGAACCGGAGGTTTCTGAGGTGAACGTGAATACTTCTTTATCCCCCTGTCGGATGCGTTTGGTCATTGCACCTCGGTCTTCCTCGTCGTCTTCGTCATCGAAAGATTCAATCTGACGTCCAGGACCTCGCCTCTGGGAATCAGCATTACGATAAAATTTCCTAAGCTGTGGGTGGCCGATTAAACGCAGCAACGCGGCCAACAAACTCAAACACTCGTCCGTGTTGTGCCCGGGCGACTTGTGGTAATCGCAATATCGGGACTTGTCCAGTTTTTCTTCAGGTGCCCGAAGTGGCTTGGGGTCTGGCAAAATGCCCTTCCCTTTGATTTCTTCATAGATAGTAGCTGCTCCCGCCGAGTACACCGTTTGGTAGCCGGACTTTACGTCGGTTGCATACTGTTTTCGGGCTGCCCTGACTTCGGGATCGTTGGGGTCTCCTCGGGGAGGCCCCCTGAATTGAGTCTTGTTTTGCTTGTCAAAAAATTTATTCTTCCTCTTTTCGTCGGTTCCCACCTTAGAGGCCTTTTGGTTAAAATTGAAGTCGGGAACCGACATGGCTTCTTCCGCTATGATATGCTGTTGGGCTCGGGCGAGAAATTCTTGAAACGTATTCGGTTTATTTTGGCATAACGTCCATCGGAAAATCGAGTTTGGCTTCAACCCAGCAATGGCCATAACAAGCAAAGTTTCTGGATGACAGGGTTCCATATTTTGAACTCGGTCGTTGAAACGGGCGATGTAATCTTTAACGCTTTCATCATCTTTTTGGGTAATGTTGGCAAGAGACTCTTTCGGGATGAGACATACTTGGGCCCCAATAAAATGAGATCGGAACGCCGACCTCAATTGTTGCCATTTCCAAATCGAGTGTGGGGGAAGAGAATGGTACCATTTCTGGGCTCGAGGCCCCAATGTTAGTGAAAACATGCGACACCGAAGTGCATCCGACGCTCCATGCAGGTCCATCCAAGAGGTGTAATGACCGAGGTGTGAATCCGGGTCGGATGTTCCATCATATAGCCCGATTTGGGGAACCTTGACTTTTCCAGGAACTGGTTCCGAAGTAAGTTCCGGAGTGAGTGGAGAGTCGGCTTCTAAATATACCTGAGCCGAGGTAGAGGCCCGCCGAGGTGGGTCCTCAGGTGCCCGTTGTCGACTTTCCAATTCGGCTATTCGTCGTCGTAGTGTTTCGAGTTCGGACGACTCTTGGCGAGCCCGATTCCGTTCAATATGCTGTCGGAGGTCGGTTTGCGCCGGATTGGAAGGATGCGGATGCTGCTCGCGAGGCTGTGTCCGTCTTAAATGACCCGACTGACTTTCGGCAGTTTCTTCTTGGGGAAGTATGGGATGATTACGCCCGGCGTCAGTGCGTCGTGTATTTTGTTCCGGAGGCGGTTGTGACATTCGATCACGAGGTTGAGATGTAGCATGAGATGTTGTCCTTCCGCCGTCTTGTCGTGCCGGATGATTTTGTCGGTTTGCGGGGGTCGTGGGAATGATGGAGTGTCCCGGAGCCGTTGTTGATGTTCCCGGCATCGTCTGGGCCATTAAAGCGGCAAAACCACGTGCAAATTCCGGGTTTTGAAACAGAACAGCATAATCCGGTACAGGTGGAGCCACGACTTGCCGTCTAGCGGATTGCCCGGCGCTACGACTGTGGCCGTCTCGTGACGCGTGACCACGATGATCTGAGTGAGACATGGTGGATATGGCTGATACGCACCGTTATGTGAAAACGCGGAGATTAACCCCAAATCACTTATGAGGCCCTTCCTCTAGCGCCAAACTGTTGTTATGTGATTGTTAACAACGATGTAATATATGATTAAGTGAGCAATTTGGAATGATTTGAACGTTGAGCATGTAAGATTGAATCAACAATGGCCCCAGTCCGAGGTGAACCGAGGTGAAGAGCCGTGATGGGCTTTTACGTGTTGCTTAGTAAAGGGTTTACAGTTCGGTAATTTGGAGAAAAAGAGAGAGATCCTTTTCCAATTGTTATAGGTCCGCTATTTATAGTAGTTTCGGGTTGATACATTGAGAT